GTGTTGGTTGTGATGGAACCAATGTAAATGTAGGATCAGAAAATGGAGTCATTCATCATCTTGAAATGTTACTTGGTCACCCGCTCCATTATTTCATATGTCAGCTTCACGGAAATGAGCTGCCTTTCCGCGCAGTTTTTTATCACTATGATGGTAAACCAAGTGGTCCTGAGCATTGGCGTGGTCCCATTGGAAAGCAGATCAAGGAGTCTTTGTCTGAGCTTCCAGTTGTCGCCTTCCAGCCAGTCAGTTTCCCTGATTTCTCTGTGTTTAATGATGAAGTGGAGAAAGATCTGTCCTGGGATCAGAAATACCTGTATAGGATTTGTAAAGGAGTTATCACAGGTGTTGTTGAAGATGACTTGGCTGCTATTGAGCCAGGTCCTCCCTGTGTGTCAAGGTGGAACACCTTATGGAGTAGAATCCTCAGGCTGTATGTAGCAACATCAAGACCCAGCCATGAGTTGAAAAGAATTGTCATTACAATAATAAAGTTCAGTGCTCCAATGTGGTTTTACATCAAGATACACCCTTACGTAACACACGGCTCAAGGAACATATTCCAGTCCCTGCTATATATGAAACACCTGAGTAGTGAGGAGGAGACGATAGTGAAGAAGGCTGTCCAGAGAAATGCATACTTCGCCCACACAGATCAACTTCTTCTTGGTATGTGTGCAGATGAGGACATGACTGTTAGAGAAAAAGCTGTCTCAATGATAAGAATAATTAGAGAGGAGAATCAGCAAAAGGAAGAATGCACTGGCAGATCTGAAGAGGAGGAGGAAGATTCTGATGCTGCTGTTGACGAGAATTTGTTGAACTATACTGATGAGGAGGGTAAAGATGGAGATGGGAATGAGGATGTGCCTCCTGTAGTCAACATGAGAAAGGTGGTGACTCCGAAACTAAAGTGGCAAGCAAAAAACTATCATTCCATGATTAACTGGAGGAATGAACTCAAGACTGAGCCTCCTTACATTGCTTCTCTGTCAAATCTACAGGTTAATGACATTCTTGAGACACCATTAGTGGTGCCCAAGTGGCCAAACAGCACTCAGGCGGTCGAGAGAGGCATAAAAGTGATGACTGAAGCTTGCACTGAAGTGACGGGATACGAATCGAGAGATGGATATATTAGGCAAAGATTATTGTCTAGGAAAATGATGCCAAGGTTCCGCACAAAAAAGAATTTCAATATGAACTTGTAATGATTTTCTATACGGTGTACCTGTAAAATAACATGTGAATTAAATCGATGTCACCCATGTAAAATTTATCATTATCCTGGAAAACATTAAATGACACCTAATTTTTGGTATACACTAAAAGTTGACAAAAAGTCGTTCGCGATGCGGCAGGGTAAGTATGCATGAAATGGCATGAAATTTTGCACAGGTGTTTGTTACAGCCATACAAACGATGCCTGAAAAGTGCAGCCTGCAACTCAAATAAAAGTGTTTTTTCCCTGCCCCCTAATGTGGAGCCTCCCAAAGAATAACCAGTCTTGATCCCGTTGAACCAGAAGAAAAGGACTGACTAGAGCCGGTAATTTTGGGGCAGAGGTAGGCTGTAGTGTGGAAACCTGCCTCCAGGGATTTTCCTCTCGTGAGGAACTAGATGTGGGTGGCCCAAATGCGAGTGATGGGCAGAGTACATCCTCGCCTTGGTGGACTTCAGCAAGAAGCGGTGGACGATAAGCTCAAGGGCGAGTGATGGACAGAGTATATCCTCACCTTGGTGATCCTCAGCTACAGAGGGACCCAGTTCCACGCCAGCCTGCTGAAGGAGTACTTCTCGTCACCGACCGCGGAAGGTCCATTCAACATTGCAGAGTCTCGGACCTGACTTATAGTATGTGTTGGAGTGTCCATGTGTTACGGTCAACTCGAACCTCCACGCGTCTGACGGTTCTTCAAATCTTATGTAAACCTTTCCACACTTGAAAACAGAACACGACACATGAACCATCTAAATAATGTCTACATTCCCTACACCAAAGTCTAATTATACCAAGTCAACACACTTCGAGTCGAAAATTCGTTCTTCGTCACACATGACGTCTTACAGTCGTGAAGGTGTGTGATAATGTCTAATAATGCGCCTTATATGGATGCATATCAAATTACAGACTACATGATAAAAGTTTGATATTCATCGGTTTCCAAAGTTTGAAAGGCAGAGGAAAAAGTGGATTTTATTGTGTATGAAGCAAATGTATAGCATGGAACAGGACGAAGAGCAACGCTTGAGAGCCACTGGCAGGTTCAAATTTGAACTCCATAAAGTCTAATGTTCAGCTGGGAAACAGGATGTGAAGAGACATGTACCTATTTGTTGCTTGAAACTGTTGTACAGCCTAGTCATCTGTAATATATCTAGCAGGCATATTGATAAATTGAAAACCTCTACGCATATATTACTAACTTGTATTCGGTGATATACTGTAATAAGTTGGGGAGAGAAAGAGAGAGCGAATGATGATAATTCTAATCATTAATAATGTTTATTATTTTCTAATTACACGAGAAGTTCAAGTGGATAACTGAAAGATAGTGTGCTAGGGAATGAGAAAATCAAGAAATATGGTAAGAATATCTTCTAATACAGTGGGGTGGTCTAACCCGGGATAATTTTCGTGTCTCCCTACTTCTGTTTTCTTCGACTACGGCCTTATCACGTCACATAATTAGCTCCACCCCCCCCCCTGCAAGTGGGTTGACTTGGTTTAATTAGAATTTACATTACACTACACAACACGTTGTAAAGTAAATGTATCGTGGTTACACTTAGCATGTACTTTCGCTCGGGAAGTGTCACCCTCGCCTCTGAGTTTTTCTCCAGCCTGAAAATCTAAAGTAAATGTTGAGGTTTTCCTTCAGTAGCGATTGGCGACTACATCCCGTTGCAGTGTTAGTGGTACACACACACGCCACAGTGTGAATATCGAATTCATTGTCTGGGCTAGGCATTCTCTTGACTGTATTGTATACATGTGCTGAAATTTTAATTACCCGAAGTAAATATTTTCAATGTAGGGGCAATTGTCATGGGTTGCGTCAAGCTTTTTAGCATGCCTCAGTCAACCCTATTCCAATGTTTGCTTTATAAAAGATAAGACCGCCGGTGAGGGGTGACTACATTATCAAGATTTCATTGGCGAGGTAAGTGAGCCAAGTTATGGGCCCCAATATGAGAGTGCTGTATTATTCATCGTGTATTACGCCCGCCACAACTACATTTTAGCCATTAGGCCCAAGACCATGGGCTAATTAAGACCCCCTGCTCCCCTGCCTTAAGGGAAGAACAGGGTGTTACACAGAGTCCTTTACCGCGACACCGTCCTGAGGAATGTCAGTGAAAAGAGACTGTGAGTTTGTCATCTCCAAGTTGCCGTAGGTAGTTCTCCTGTGCGACCCTGTCAAGATAACTGTCAGTGAGACGAGACTGTGTGCGTATCAACCCCAAGGCTTTATTATTATTTCCCATGAAAAAAAGATCACTTGTGAAGGCCTGTTGCAACAAAAGCGAACCTAGGCTGGCCAAGTGAACCTAAGTGGATATATTCCCTAGTAAAGTGATTGTATCACCTGAGGAATTAAGGCTCTGATAAGCCAACCCATAGTAGTTTAATTAAATGTAGGGTTCCCAGATTCAGCACTCTCTCCTTTCAAAATTATTTTTTTATAGCGTGAATGTGATGACTCATATATCCATGCAAATTGTAAATAATTGTATGGAACTTTGCCAAATAAATGTAAGTGCAATTATCTGTCCGTATCTGTGATCCCTATCTTATTATTACTAACGTTGATGGCTGATTGGTTAAGACGACGTATAACCAATAACTTAGAAGGAAGTTGGAAATTGACCACATGAAATGTCAGGTGGTGGAGTGAATTTATACTTAGTGATACACCATGATCTCCTTGGTGAAGTAACCAGTGTGAAGGTACGTGAACTCTACGGTAAGACAATTAAGAACACGTATATCCCTCCCGCATTAATCCATAACAACCGTGCTCATTAGACGATCAGATTTGTAAATAGCATATAAGAAAACTATTTGTGTTTAACCGAATACCAAGCAATACTGTAAACAAACAATCATAACTCATTAATGTATACAGGTGACTCTAAATAACTAACAATAATAATAAAATAAAGAAATGCTTTTAAAAATTTTGATGGAAGCAAGAGAAACATGTGTTGTGCTATACACCTCCCCATATTGTATTATACACCACCCTTTTTGTGTTTTATATACCACCTTGTATTGTGTTATACTCCACCATGTATTGCATTATACACTGTCCCCATATTATATTATACACTACACAGTATTGTATTACACACCATCCTGGATTGTACTATACACCACCCTATACAGTATTGTATTATTCACAATTGTCTAATGTGTTATACACCACTCTCTATTAGTATAGAGTCTAATGAATTATTCACCACCATTTAATGTAATGTACACCACCCTGTTCACTTGTACAGTATTATTACATGGCCCTGTACTGTGTTATACACCACCATGTATTGTGTTACTCACCACCGTGTATAGTGTTATACGCCACACGTTACTGTATTATACACCACTCTGTACTTTGTTATACACCACCCTGTGTTATATCCTGTATTGTATTATACACCACCCTGCATTATGAAAAACACTGAAACTATTATATATGCAGTACAGGTTCACTACTCACATTTATGACAAACCCTGAGACTCAAACACAGATAAACTGAACCAACTCCTATTTTTTTACTGATCATGTCGAGAAAAAGACTCCACTCGAAAACAGGATTCATTTTTTTTAATAATATGAAGAAATAGGTTATATTTTGGTGTGTGTGTGTGTGTGTGCGTACAGGATGGCAGCATTATGTTAATGTTAAGATGCAAGCACAACTTGCTTCCTCTCACTTTTAGCTACCGCCGCTGGTGGCGAACATAGAAGCAACTTGCATAAGATTTCCCCTGCCAGTACACATCCTCTACATCATCGAGACTCCTGTTTGCCTCTGAGCAGCAGTGGTCCCCAGAGGGACAGCACATCATAGACCAACTGGTACATGGACACTGTCTTGGAGCCTACCAACCACTGCCCCGCTGCCTTGCGGGTGAACTTTGGTAGGCTACTGTAGTAAACTCAAATGAAAATTCTGAAGTGGAGCCCTGCACCAGGCAGACATGCTTACAGAGCTCCAGTAAGACGTCAACGGTGGTATAAGCAGAAGAGGTAACCAACATGGGAACCCACTGACTACACCCTCGGATGAAGGTAATGCAAGATGGACAGGCTACTAAGACAAAACCCAACAAACTTGGGTATTGGCAGAACACTGCAACTCTCCCTCTCCCCAGACATTGCAACTGCTTCTACCACTGGACCAATAAAAGGGAGAGTCAAGATGTGTGGTTGAAGCCTGCACTCCTGCCTCGCCACATAAACATATCACGCACAGCCATCATACAGCTCATCATACTTCTCATCATCATCAAAACCTCTATACCCTCAAAAGTCCTATGGTGACAGGTACAGGCAGAGATGACTGCCGGGAGTCTCTAGTCACAATTCTGCACATGGGGATGCATAGATAAGATGGTCGTTTATGCACTAGGATCTAGGCAACAGTACATTCCAGTCCTGTCTCTGCGACTGAACAGTCCTTTTGGGGAGCCACTTTGCTCACCCCACATGGGAAGGTGGATAAAATAGGTGCCCTAAACATAACCTGCCTAAAGAACCAACCTGACTGGATAATCGCGCCCAGTATGGTCATCCTTATGCGGTCGAAAACCCAATAATAATCACAGATCAAAGCGAAAACAAACTATACAACCTCTTATGGCAAAGAGCTGGCTAGGTATAACATCGACATAGCAGCCAATAGTTAGTTCCAGCTCCCAGATGAGGGTCGACTCACAGAACAAGGGTCCGGCTATACCTTCTTCTTGAAGGGTAAACCGCATTTATGAACTTGGCTTTGCCATCCGCCAATCCATCTTAAATAGGCTAACTGAAATGCCTTTTGGGGATTAAATAAAGCTCTGAGTAACACAGAATCACTCACGTCATGCCTTCTTCATCAGTGTATATGCCGCATCACTGCATGCAGAGAATGACAGCAAGGACGCCTTTTATGCTGACCTTGAAGGAGATGCTAACCTCTATCCCAAGAGAAGATCAAGTTGTGCTCCAAGGCGACTTCAGTGCCAGAGTTAGCAGAAATGGTGACATTTAGCAGGAATCATAGAGAGAAATGGCTAGGCAAGTGTAATCCCAACAACCTACTCCTCATCAGCAAGTGTGCTGCACACAACCTTACTATCATCTTGTTTGGGCAGGCCGACAAGTTCAAGGGTTTATGGCAACACCCACGATCCAAACACTGGCATCTAATTGAATACATCATTGTCAGAGAAAGAGTTTGCCGAGATGTCATCATCACCCAAGCCTTGCGTGGCTCAGACCACTGTGACACTGATCATCGGCTCGTCAGAGCCAAACTCTCACTTCATGTTGCCCCAAAACGGCAGAAGCAATAAGCCTCCAAAAGTGGTTTTAACACTAAGCGTCTGGAGGACCCAGCAGTAGCATATGCTTTCACATAGTAGCTCCATAAATGGGCTGATAAACAACCCGACTCCAAAAAACAACCCAAATCCCTGTTCCGAATGGGGTATTCTCGAAATTGTCATGACAAAAACCTGCAGAGAGACTCTCGGCCAGATCGAAAGAATACACGAGGACTGGTTTGATGAAAATGAATTGGAAATCAACGTACTCGTCGATGATAAACATGCTGCTTTGAATGATTGGCAGAACAACCCACTGACTCGAATTAAAGCTGATACCCTCCACAAGAAGAAAGCGGCGGCCCAGCGTGAACTTCGCAATCCAAAGAACGAATGGTTAAGAAATAAAGCATGTGAAATGCAATGACTTGCAGATTAACACAAGATGCGCCAATTTTTCAATTCCCTAAAACATTTTATGGGCCAATCACTTATGATGCAGCCCCACTTCGCTCATCTGAAGGTAACTCCCTAATTAATGACGAAGAAGGCATTCTTCAGCGCTGGAAAAAGCACTACCATTCGCTTCTCAACCAAAACACCGATGTAGATGTCCTGACTACCCACCAGGTCCGTCAGTACACAGAGCTGACCAACTTCAGCTATCCTCCATCCCTGGATGAGGTTGCTGCTGCAATCAAACAGATGAAAAATAACAAGCCTCAGGGCCTGATAGAATCCAAGGAGAGCTGTATAAAGATAAAGAACCTCTGCTTACCAGCCGTCTCCACTCTCTCCTGGAGAATATATGGGAAAGGGAGTAAATCTCCCAAGCTCTTAAAGACGCCTCGATCGTCAATATTTATAAAAACAAGGGAGACTGATCAGACTCTGGCAACTCCTGCTGCAACTAGCTGCTGTCCATAGCTGGCAAGATTATCTCCCGGGTCCTCTTATACAGACAGTAAAGGCCTGCCTAATGAGGATCTTATAAAAGGAAAGTCAAGAACCAAGGGTTTCCAAGGGTAACAAACAACCCTTCAAGATTGACATCTCTTTACTACGGAAATAATCACAATGATTGACACCACTCACACAAATATCAAATAAACAATTACGGGAGTCAAACAATTAATGGAGTCAAACAATTATGGGAGCCAAACAAAGTTTACAGATATTTCCTATGGCTGCAGTCCGTTGGAATATTTCGTTGACGCGGTGGTCAGCTCTCAGGGGGAAGGTCCAGGGCAACTTACTCACTTGGCGCCGGCGTTGGTGGGCGATGTCTTGCCACACAGGAGAGACACCAGGGCACGGACGGTGGATAGAGCGTGGAGGAAGTGGCGATGACGTGGCAGCCGCGATAGTAGCTGGAGTAGGTGTCCGGAGATTGACAGCCAGATAGAGAAGGACTGGGGAATCAGCCCACGAGCCCCAGGAGCCTCAGATGAGCACACAACCAGAATTGTACGAACAGCGGGGAAAGTGCAGCTGTGGTGCTGGTTGGGTAGTATCTGATGTGTAACGAAGCAGCAGAGACCTTCTCACCTCCGTCTACCTCCCCTAGTGGGGTTCGCGAACAAGGAAACGAGCGGCGGACAACCATCCTGCTCGTTACCGCCCTTTCACAGACTTCTTCCTGAGGTGGAAATCTTCCTCCCAGAATCTGAATGTGACTTTAGACCATCACTTGGCTCCCCTGACGTGATTTTTGCTGCCTGCCAGATAGAGGAAAAGTGCAAAGAACAACGTCGTGAACTATATATGGCCTTCATCTACCTTTCCAAGGACTTTAATTCGGTCAACAGGGAAGCCCTCTGGCAGACCCTCAGCTTTTTTTGCTGCCCACCAGATTTAATTGCCATTATGAGGCAAGTCCACGATGGCATGACCGGCAGTGTCTTATTCAATGGCACTCACTCTGGGTTCTTCCCCACCCATGGGGTAAAACAAGGAAGTGTAGTGGCAACAACTCTCTTTTCCATTTTCTTGGCTGCCTTCCTTACTCATGCCAGTGCCAATTTAGTCGGCAGGGTGGACATCTCGTACCGGAATAAAGGAATTTTCAACATAAGACAATGAATGCGACCTACAGCAGATCCGGAACACCTATGCAAAAGCGTATCACAATTCGGCCTGAAGGGGAATGTACATAAGACTCAAATTCTCTTTCAGCCTGCTCCTGGTTCAACCACAACCCCACCATCCATGCATCTTTTTTTTTCTTAAGGTGGGGAAAGGATGGAAGGCATGCTTGGGCTCAAGGCACAGCCAGACATGAGGGATAGAGAAGTCATGACATATAGTCGTGGGGGTAAGGGTTGGAAAATAAGTTTAATGAGTGAAACAGAGGGGGACGACACCCCTTGTTTTACATAGTACAGAGTTTGTTGGCTAACTAAGCTAACCTAGGATTTAGGATGAGGTTGTACAATGGTTACTTTGGTAGACAATGACTAGTTTGATTTTACAATTACATGTTTATTAAAATCTTATACAGTATTACGTTATGGACTCACTAGATTGTGACTTGTTAAATGTGAACATATATCATCTAAGTTTTAATCTAAGGTGGATCACTGTGGCAGACATAGATGGGTTGTGGGTTCGATTGTTGTAGTGTGGGCAGACTCCGTGGAGTCGCCCTCCTTTGATGTCTTCCCCGTATAGGTGTTCTGGGGTGTGAGGGTCGTCCAGGAGCTTGCCCCAAACCTTCTTCCCAAGTCGATGGAACCTGACATTGAGGGCCTCTGTTTTATTTCTCAGGTGGATGGTTTCCACTGTCTCCTGGTAGGGTGGCGCTTGACCACTGGCTGACCTCAAACACTTGTTTTGGAAGCTCTGGAAGTTGTTGTAGTCTGGTCTTGCCTTGTGTGACGAGTAGTATATGTGGGTACTCCAACACAGGCCTATGCACAGCGCCTTGTACAGGTGGACTTGTATCTTCTCAGGCATCAGTTTAAAACGTTTTAATTTGGCTGTGGCGACTTTGGCTTTCTTTAGTTTGTCCTTCACGTGGGAAATGATGCCCGTCCAAGAGATGATGAGGCCGAGCAACCTGCCTTGTTTAGAGTACTCAATCTCTTCGTCTTCGATCTTCAATGTCGCCGGCTTGAATTTGGCCCAGGGTATACCTCGAATTTCGTTTTGTTTGTTTTTATTTTCCATTTATTTTCCTACTCCGAGATATCCTCTATTGTCCGAGCAGTGAGTCGCGCTATCCGTGCCGTAGACCTTCCTGAGCAGGTGACGATCTGTGTTACATCGTCAGCATACATGACGTATTCGCTGCCGCCTATTGGGGGTAGCAGGTTAGCCATGTAGAGCGAGCAAAGGGTTGGAGAGAAACAAGAGCCCTGAGGCACGCTGCTCGAGAATGAGAATTCTTCTCCACAATGTTCTTGCATCTTGATTTTGGCTCCGCGGTCCGTAATGATGTTGCACAGCAGGCGCGTCAGGTTTTCCGGTAGCCTCAGTTGTATGATCTTATGCTGCAGCCCCGCGTGCCAAACTTTGTCAAACGCCTTGCTGACGTCCCTTATTACTACGTTGCACTGCAGGCGGACAGTCATGGCCTTGGCGATCTGCTTGTAGGCCTGGGCTATGGCGGAGGATGTGCCTTGGTAACATAACATAAGAACATAAGAATGGAGGAAACTGCAGCGGGCCTATTGGCCCATACTGGGCAGTCCCGTTTACACCCAACCCCTATTGCTCATATAAGCATCCAACCTATGTTTGAAGCTATTCAGCGTATTCGACTTAATGATGATATTTGGTAACTTATTCCATTCATCCACTACTCTGTTTCCAAACCAGTGTTTACCTATTTCACTCCTAAATCTAAATTTGTCTAATTTAAAACCATTGTTACGAGTTCGCTCCTGGTTGGATAGTTTAAGTACCTTTGTAATGTCCCCTTTGTTTAGCCCTGACTTCCACTTATACACCTCTATCAGGTCGCCCCTCACTCTACGTCTCTCGAGGGAGTGCAAGTTAAGATGTTTTAACCTGTCTCTATACTCAGGGTTCCTAATGCCCGGGATTAGTCTTGTCATTCTCCTCTGAATTCTTTCCAAGGATTCTATATCCTTTCTGTAATACGGTGACCAGAACTGAACTGCGTAATCCGGGTATGGTCTCACAAGCGCAAGATACAGTTTTAGGATGACCTCGCTAGTCTTGTAACTAACACTCCTTTGTATGAACCCAAGTACTTTATTAGCCTTGTTACGAGCAAAAACACATTGTTTATTTGGCTTAAGGTTCCTACTTATCATTACTCCTAAATCTCTCTCGCAGTCGGATTTCTCTATGGCATCGTTGTTCATCTGGTATCTGGTTTCCCTGTTTACATCTCCTATACTGAGTACTTTACATTTGTCCACGTTGAATTTCATCTGCCATTTTTCAGACCATTCGAAAAATTTGTTTAGATATTCCTGTAGTTTTGCGGAGTCCTCGTCAGATTTAATAACACGTCCTATTTTAGTGTCATCAGCAAATTTACTTATGTTGCTGTCTATGCCGATATCTATGTCGTTTATGTATATAATAAATAATAATGGTCCAAGTACTGAGCCTTGTGGAACTCCACTAGTGACGTTTCCCCAATGGGACTTAGTGCCGTTAATGCTCACTTGCTGTTTCCTGTCCTGTAACCACACCCTAATCCATTTGAGGATATTATCTTTGATGCCATTTGCT